CCAGGGCGCCAAGGGCATGGGCCGCCAAGCCTTGGGGAGGATGCAGGGCCCATCCCAGTGAGCTTCAGTTGTTCTGCAAAGCCAGCGCAGACCCCCAAGGAGCCCCCAACTCCCTCCTCCCCAAGTGGTCCCCTTTCCCTTCCCCCATCCGTGTTTGCACAGGGGATGCACCATCTCACCCACACCCAGCTGGTTACTTACCCCACCGGCTCAGGCTGGAGCAGCTGCGTCCCCTCAGGCTGCTCCTCGCTGTCTGACCCAGCCAGGCTGGGGAAGGCTTTAAGTGCTGGGGGGGGCAGGGGCTGCCCGACCACCACCCCCCGCCACCCCAAGCCCCCGTGGGTGTCACTGCCTGCAGGACAGCCGCAGGACTAGGGAAAGCACCTGCGTGTGTATGTAATGGGGGATTCCCTGCTGGAGCCATGCTAAGACTCCCTGCGCCGGCTGACTGGGCTGGGGGTATGCAGCGGGGGGCCAGCTATGCTGGTACCAGTGCGGCCAGCCCCCCTGCATGCCCTCAGCCCCATCTAGGACCATTTCCCAGGGCCCCTTTCCCACCCACGCTGGGATGAAAGCGGCAGAGGGTCAAGTTTCCACACCCGGCAGCTGGGGTAAAAGGGGGATGCCCTGAAAGGGATGAAAGCTGGAATCTGCCTCCTCCCGGCTCTTAGTGCTTTTGTTGGCTTCAAAGTTGGATTTAGGGAGAGCACCACCCTGGGACTGCCCAGGGCAAGGGGGTGAGAGCATCTGACTCGCTGCTTTGCATGATCTTGATCTTTAGGACATCAAAAGTGCCACCCCAAGGTGGTTCCGGTCCCGCTGGGGGGGGTACAGGGATGTTGTAGCCCCTCTGTTTATCCCAGGATGATCAGTCTCCCCCCAGTAGCCACTCCAGACGCCTTGATAGGAGACGCACTGGATTCAAACGTGATCTTGGGGTTCAGCTGGCATTGGCCGTGCCCCTCCAGGGTGGCAGAGGGGTCTCTGTGGCTGCGGAGCCCCATTGGAGGAAGATCCTCAAAAAGCATTTGTCTGCCCAGGAACAGGATTTGGGGGGGTCATGCTGCTGCTGTTGCCCCCCCCCGACGTGCAGCAAGTGGCCTGGCACATTGCCGGGTGGCTCCAGAAGGGCGGAGGGCTCCCGCTCCCACACAAACTTTCCCACCGGCTGTCTGCCCCCGTGCCAGCTGCTACCAGTTCCCACCTGTCTCCGGTCCTTGTCCCCAGAAGCTGCTCCAGAGGACGGGGACCTCCAGCCCTGGGACATCGCCTCGGCCCCCACAGCTCAGTGTCGGGGGAGGCAGAAATAAACAGGGAAGGCAAACTGTGAAAAACAAGAGGCTTTATTCCAAAATACAAAAGCCCCCAGGAAAGCAGAGCCAGCCCCAGCCCAACGTGGCCCAACGCTGGGAAGAGCTGGCCACCTTGTGCGAGTTTAGCAATGGAGCTGCTGGAGCAGTGGCGGTGTCACAGCGGTGCCAGAGCCACCGACCCTCAGCACCAGCTCAGGTCCCGCAGCGTGGGGACAACCAGCACCAGGGCCCCAGCAGCAGCAGGAGAGGACACACCGTGCACCAGCAGCGAGTTACCTTGCAGGACGCAATGCTGTCCCCAAAAATACCATAAGGGCATCGCTCCCCACCAGCAGAGCCACCCGTCCTTCCCGCCTCCGGTCACTCGAACTTGGGCTTGGGGGGGTCTGCGTGCCCGCGGATGTTGAGCAGCAGGAGGAGGCCAAGGCAGAGGGTGGCGGGGGCACACATGGCCAGGGGCTCCCGCAGCACCAGCAGCGTGTAGATGGCACCTGGGCGAGGAGCAGAGTGTGGGAACCGAGGTCCCTCCCTGAGTGATCCCCCAAGACCCTGCGCAGGGCGGTGGGTGCCCGCTCACTCTCACCGATCATGACGACGCTGAGGACGAAGTTGCTGATCTCCTGCAGGAGCTGGGGCCCGAACGCCAGCAGCAGCCCGGCCACCACCTCCGTCCAGCCCACCGCCTCCAGGTACCGGCCGGGCTCCGGCGTGAACCCAAACTCCTTCAGGGGAAAGACCTCGGCGAACCGCACGAACTGCGACTTCTGGGATGGGTGGGAGGGGAGCAGAGCTGCCCTGAGCCTGGGGCTGGGGGGCACAGCCCCTCTGGTGAGTCTGCTTGGCTCTGCCCTGCACCCCAAAAGGCTCAGTCCTGCACCCCAAGGGGCTCAGTCCCTTCCCTGGAAAGGCCCAGCCCTGTGCCCCAAGGGGCTCTGGCTTGCTCACCCCAAAAGGCTCAGCCCTTCACCCCAAGGGGCTCAGGCTTGCTCACCCTGAAAGGCTCAGCCCTGCACCCCAACGCGCTCAGCCCCTAAAAGGCTCAGGCCTGAGCCCCAAAGTGCTCGGCCCTGCACCCCAACCTGCTCACCCCCT